ATTGGGGGTGGAGGGTTGGGGCATCAGACTGAGAGAAGGAACAGAAGTATGTAAGTGCTGCTCATCCAGTTAGCCATGGTTAGCCATGTCTCCCCAGACAGCATTTTCCTCATTTGTGTGTTTGTTGTTTATTACGTTCCATATCTTATTAAAATACTTACCTATAATTTTTCCTCACCATCTTCAATTTTGTTGTTTATCCAGCTTATTGTAGTGTGGGGGTAAGAATTCTGCAAAAAAATTTATTGGGTCAGCATAATTGTGACCTCACTGTTCATACAATACCCGTTTCTCGTCTGATTTCAATACATCTACTGGTGTTTTTGTGTGTGTCCTTAGGTCTTCTCATAGGCTTTCTACTTCATTCTGTTAATTCATTTGTCTAGTTTTGTGCCCGTAGGACCCACTGTAATTGGAGCTGCTTCTGTGATGATCACATCACAGATTCTGAGATTTCTGCTATGTGATGATCACATTACAGATTCTGATTTCTGCTTTCCAGATTTGCTCTTACTTTGTTACATTTTACAAAACATATCATTTGGGAATTTAATTGGCAAAGTTAATTATATTTTTATATCATTACAACTTTGAGGTTTGTCATTTGTGAAAATGGTGTGCATTACCGTCTATTGTTTTTATTTGTTTACTGGTTTCTGTTTTATCTTTGAGACATGTTTTTACCATGTAACCTTGGCTTGTCTCAGTTATGTAGACCAGGCTGGCCTTGAACTCACAAAGAGCATCTGCCTCTGATTCCCAAGTGCTGGGACTAAAGTGTTCTGCTTTATTTGGGTGTTTTATGGCTTTAAATTTTGGAACTTTTAAATGTATTTTTATATATTTAACTACATTAATTCAGGATAACATATACCTTTCATTCTAACTACAAACAGCATATTTTCCCATTTAAAAAACTTAGAGCTGGCTGGCCAGTTATGGGTGCTCTAGATTCTTGTGCCCTGAATTTTGCTAAGTTCCTTTTATCAACTGCGATAAATTTGAAGATCTTGTGGTAGCTAATGTTGGTTGTCAATTTGACATAGCTGGGAAGAGGGAATCTCAATAGAAGAATTGTTTCCATCAGATTGACCTAAAGGCCTGTCTATGGATATGATCAATTGATGGAGGAGTGCCTAGCCCACTATGGGAGGTGTCATCCTTAGGCAGGAGGTGGGCCCGAGCTGTATAAGCAGGGTAGCTCAGTAAGCAGGTAAGCAGCAGTCCATTGTGGCCTTGGCTTCATTTTCTGTCTTCAGGGTTCTGTTCTTTGCAGCCCTGGCTTCCCTGTGTGATGTCCTGTAAACTCTAAACTAAATAAGCCCTCTCCTCCCTGGTTTTGTTCAATGCTTTATCAAGGCAACAGAATGCAGACTAGAACAATTCTCTCCCATTTTCTACACAAATAATGTTATCATAGCAAATAGAGACGTTTCCTGGTTTGTTTTTTTTTTAAACTACCCTAATGGCTCATTCTCCTTCAACAAGGGACAGTAGTGATTCTTGTCTTTTTAGTTGTTGTAATGTAGTCACTTTTAACGTCCCCTCTTGAAACATGATATGCTCTATATATTACTGCTACATATCTCTCAGAGTGTTCATAAGGATTTTGTTCTCAATTTTCTTAGAAGTTTTTCTACAAATAATTATTAATTTATTTATATTTTCCTACAAATAAATATTAATTACCAAATATTATTCTTTATGTTAGATGATTTTTTTCCTTTTTAAACATTTCAGATTTTGGACCCTCTCTGCATTCACTCACTTTTAAACTATTGGATGAAATTTGATAATTTTCCAACTTTAGTTTCATAAGTGCAGTTAACTACTTTAAACTCTCTCTTTTTAAGGGTACATCTCTGTGTGTACTTTGTGTGTACACTTCGTGATTCAATTTCTATGACAAGACTCTCATTTTATAAGCTTTGGGAGTCTGGAAAGATTTCATTTGACTAAAAGAATGCAGGAAGGAGTATTAAGCCTTAAAGAAAATAAATCCTCTTGTCTGTTCAACAAAGTAGATTTCTTAAAAATTGAAATGCTGTCTATTTTTTAATAAAATAAAGAAAGTAGATTCCTGTTTTTAATGAGAAAAAAAAAACCAGCCTGCTTTTACTTTTCAAAGTCAAGCCACAAACAAAATACAGTTGCAGCTGCTGATCAATATGACAGCAAGCACTAGGAACCAAAGAAGAAAAATATATAAGGGGTCATGGAAATGTTTCTAAAAGGAAAAAAATATATAAGGGGTCATGGAAATGTTTCTAAAAGTCTCTTTCCATCCGTTATGGTTAACTAAGTCCTGTGATAGACAAGCTGTCCTTTATCTGGGGTGACTGAGATGATACTATCGGGAAATATGTTCCACAGGAGTGTCCTATATGAATCTTGTGTGTGTGTGTACACATACATTTACACACATGCACACGCACACGCACACACACACACACACACATGCGCGCACACACATAAATTCGAAAAAGTAAATACAATGGAAGTGAAATCCCCATGACAGAAATTGAGCAATATGTAAACATGTTTCTTCATCACTTTTCTTTTTAACATTTCTGTTTTCTTTTAAAGACAAAGGAAGATTACTTTCTCTATTGTGATTTGTTTACATGAAATGTGTTGAATCTATAGTTCTTCTACAGCAATTCTACTACAGATATGTAAAATGGACTTTATGGCTCTCCGTGTGCTATACTCTGTATATGAAATGTCTAGAATTTATCTACAGAAATGTACTTCTTTCCCCCAAAAGGCATAACCCAAAACATTCAGCTGTTTATCTTCTATAAACCACACAGCATGCTCATCCCTTCCGTGTTTCCTGTTGATAATATTTCTCCCTTTGGTAGCACATGTTCTCTTTCCTCTGGAAAGCTGGCACTTAAAAAAAAAATAAAGACAACAATAAAACATAATCCTCATAGACTACAAAATGTCGCCCTGCTGCCGGTCACCCAAGGGGCGTCCCTGGTGTAAGTGTAGAGCATGTTTCTCAGGTGATTTCAGCACCAGCTGTAGATAATAGCAACTTTCACACAGCCCTCTATATTCCCGCCTTGAATTCATGCACCCAGAAAATTCCCTGGGCAGAGGTCATATCGATACGATTGAGATGTCTGAAGAAACTCATGTCTGTCTGCTATTGTCTTCAAGCTCAGTCCTTTGCTGGACTAAGAAGTATTATTATTCTGTCTTTCAACCTGCCCAGCCAGATACAGGATTTCCCCAGCTGTCCAACTGGCATGGATCCAAAAAGTTTACTTTCAAATCATTTATCTGGAATCAGAAAAAAAAAAAAGGTTTCCCAAAAGAACCATTTTGAAAATGGCTGTGCTCACGGATGCCTGGTTGAGCTACAGTGAGCGTGAAATGCAACATTAACAGTGTGGTTCCCACCAAAGTTATTTATTTTATGTGTCTGGGAAAGTGTATTCTGAGTTCTGGTTCAGGATGCTTTAAGTCCAACTCTCTCTGGACCCAGTAGCCTTTGCTGTAATTTTTTGGAGCTGTTTTGTAGAACAAAGCAGGAAGAGCAGAGGAGGTAAGTTACCTCCCTAAGAAGTATAGGGGATCCACGTAGACACTTCTGGGTGGCTGCTTAGTAACCAGGGCTGGAGAAGAAACTCTCCCTGTGGACCAGCTGCTTCCCAAGCACTCTCAAGGAAGCACAAAGGGCAGGGGATGTTTCCTGAATAGAGACAGCGTCTACGTCAGATCATCATTAATGGAGAATGGCTTTTTTTCAGTCAGACTGCATGTGTTGATGAAGCTTCTGGACTTGTAATTACTCAGGGAAATTATTTAAAACTTCTTGGTCAGTGATGAGACAGTATCAGCAGTGAAACATGGATTTTGTGCTAAGCCCCAGGCCTGACAAACAGTAAGTATTCCAATTTTTTTTTTTAAAGCTAAGTACCGACTGAATGAATTCCAAAGAATACAAGACCACAATTGGATGCATGTGTGGGCCAGTGACCTGCATTATAACTCAGAGTCTTTCAGGGCTCATTCTCCCCTAGTTCAGGCTTTCTAGAATGTTCTAGGACATCTGTGTCACCTGCGAGGGCATATGTGTCTGTCTACACCTGACCCAAAGCAGGTCCTGGGTCTCTCCATGTTCTCTGCACGTTCATTTTTACCCATTTCTAGTACAATCTCCCCATTGCCAAGACAGAGGAAAGAAAGGAAGATGGGCGTTGGTGGGAAAAGCCAATAAAGCTCTCTAAACCTTAGGATCCCATCTGCTAGCTTCTAGCGTCACTTTTTTTTTCCCTGGCTAACATTATCTGGTAAAAAGACTGATACATTTTATTTATACTTTTTGTCAGTTGTTTCCATAACACACATAGACATATTCTAGGCTAGAACTTAGCCTGTGCAGCAGACCTGCTTCTTATCCACTTCAGGTTTTTAACTCATGTAATGATTTAAATTTATTTTGTAGTGAAACTGCTTTGAAAAGAAATACACTATTAAGACTTCTTCAGCTAAAATGTCTCCTCCCACCCCCAACCTCAGTCCCATAAGCGTGTCTAACTGTCCACTTATTGTTTCGTGGACTGTACTTTCTTTTTAAAGCTCTATTTGTGTTCTACAAGACAGCCTCTTTCTCCAAGATTAACGTTTCTTATGATCGTTCCTGACAATGGATCTGCTTCCAGGAGGCCCTGCTTAGGATAACCAAAAAAGGGCATGGAGCCGGCTGGTTTTGGCAGCCTGCTCACAGTTTCAAGCTTTTTAGGACTTGGTTTTTCTGATGAGTGATATCCTGAGCATGCCTAGGGAATGACAGGCATCTGCACGGGCAGACAGCATCACCTTGGCCAGGGTGTCGTCATTGGCTGCCTATTAGAAAAACTACAGGACAATGCATACCACCGCCTGCCGACTGTAAACATAGGGGGTATGTGTTCACTTAGCATGGACTTCTGGGAGGGGCCAAGGAAGGGCGGTCTGCAGTTTTATTGAATAGAGCAGTGTGCATTGGGTTGCCTGCCTGCCTGACTGCCTGCTTGCTCTCTTGCTGGGTTGCTTAAAGGAATCCTTGCATTCAGACAGCGGGACGTCCCTCGTTGGGAAGAAGCTGCTGCCCTAGAGGTAAGACATAGTGTCTTTCTTTCTCCACCTTCAGGACGCTGGAGCTGCTCTACAGGTTTCAGGCAACATTCCTGGCTTAGGTGGCTGGATATGCAAAATCTTTCTAGGCAGGCAACAGACCGTGTAAATTCCCAAAGCCAGCCTGGACTTCCTGACCTGTTCCCAGAAGGTCAATGTGATAAAACTTCAAGTTTTGTTTCTAGAGATGGTACAAAGGGAAAGATCGCATAGTGACAGGATCAGGGTGCACGGGTGCCTTTGCCTGGGATGTGTTTTTGTTTCCAAGGGGGATGTGGATTTTACCTGGAATCCTCAGGCCAGCGTCAGTGATCAGACTTTGCTGATCTGTCCCTTTAGCAGTTTCTTTCCCATCTTCTGTCAGCAGACATTTAAACAGGATTCAGGTTTTAATTAAGAAATAGCAGCAACAGCTTTTTCCGTTGTTAAGACAAAGAATGTTTGTTTTGTTTTGTTGTGGTTTTGGTTTTTGTTTTAAGCTAATTTTAAGCTAAGTAATGGGTTCCTTTTACTCTGCCACCAGGATTTTAGAAGTGGGTTTTTGGAGATGTAAAGAAATAAGGTCAGAGTTCCACCACTAACACCAACTGAGCTAGTGCCATTCATCCGCTATTTGCTGAAACAGAAGATGCCTACCGTGTCTGTTTTCTATAAACCCGAGCAAGAGAATGTGTGCGTGAGTGGGCGTGTATGTAGAAATCATGGTTAACTGCCTACCAAAATATTTCTTGAGAAATCTTCATTTCTATTGGAAAGTATGCTCCCCGAGGGTCTGAAAAGAGAGCAGCCGGAGGAATGTTCCAGAAAGGAAGGAAAGGAGCTTTTATTTCCAGACAGACGTATTTGGGCATCTCAAACAGTAGTGCAAGCTGGTAGTAGTCGGTAATTCCTTTTAGAAAGAGCCAATTGTAAAGGGCGAGGGAGTTTCAGTGCTGTGGCAATACATGGTCAGAAAGTCCAGAACAAGGTGCATGGTATTCCCAGATCCCTGCTGGTTTGGAGGCTCTGAACATGGAACTGTAAATGAAAGTAGCACAGTCCCTTAGGCTTAGGCAAAACCAGACATGTGGACTAGAACTTACCAAAGACAAGGTGCCCTGCAGAAGAAGAGTAAGTCTGATCATTAAAGAAATAATACTCATAGTAAGGTCTAGCGTTTCCAGATGACTGCTTCCACTTACGTTTGCCGTAGACTATGATGCCTTTGCGGTTAGGACTAGCTAAGCAATCCTTGTGTTTAGAAGTGTGGGATAATTTCTGGAGAAGTGACACATGAGAACAGACTGCCCTGTGAGTTTCTTTCCCTGGAACAGCCCTGAGTAAGTGTGAGGGAAAGGCTCCAGGCAGGCAGTCGCTCTGCGACAATTGTCCTTCCTTGGAAGGCATCGAGTTCTCAACTTTGTACAGGGTTTTTTAATGTCAATAAGAGCATGGAGAGCAATTTCTATTTCAAGTATTCCCTAAACCATGTAGAGAATGCAGATTGGAAGAAAAATCTATAATCTTGGATTTGAGGATAAATTCCATTTTGAAACCAACATCCTGGAGTCGCTGAAAGTTCATTTTCTCTATGGCCAGTTTCTCCCATCCCCCTTACATGCTCCCCACCCCCAATGACTGAAATAGCATTTTCTGAAATAACACTGTATGTGTTCTCCACACACAGAGTGAGGGGTTTCAGTTCAGGGTAAACGTCAGGCAGTTCTTGATGCTATTTCCTTCCGGTGAAGAACAATCTGGGAGCGGTTTCCCCTAATAGGGAGGTAAATGGAGTTCAATGAAGCCAAAGCCTGGAAACTTTTATTCTATTAAAATCATTTAATGAAAAACATAAAGGAGAAGCTCTGGATGAAAAAAATGGCAGAAAAGAATAGATCTTAGAACCCATGAGGAATGTATGGACTTAACTAGTTTACAGGTTAATGTGGGGTTGTTACCATTTTTGAAAGTCAACAAAATGTGCAGTTTAAAGCATCCAAGTCAAAGATTGCATTAGGCATGTGATTTTTTATGAGAGAGAGAGAGACAGAGAGAGAGATTCTTGATTTCAGATTCAAGGGCTTAAGGAGACACCTGGATGGCTTTCCTGACAATTGGGGCGAGTCCCCGTACTCCTTGCTTCCTCACTAGCCCCAAGCCTTGTCTGCTCTCTGCAGGTAGAATAGGTTGGTTTAGAGGTGCGCCATAGAAAGTTCCAGACTCTAGTTTGGATATAACCCTTTTCTTGAAAACTCACACAGCCCTGTCCATTTGTCACGTGTAGTACGATGACTGGTTAGTCGTTCTTCAGTGAGACAAGAGTGACTTAGAGATGAACTTGAGAAGGGTTTTGCCGGCTCTCCATCTGCCTGGTGTCTGTCACATGACTTGGAAGTGTGGTGGGGTGAGGCCATGGTTGGGAGTGGGGGAGGGGGGATGCTGACAAAGCGGAATGCTAATGGCATGGTAGGCCTGGGGAGGAGGTTAGGGAGATGCTGCCAAAAGGATCTTCAAACTTTAAGGAGGCATTTTTTCTGGGTAAATCTCTCAGAGCCTCAAAATAGCACCATTTAGCTTCTTAACAGAAAGCCCTTCATCTGTCAAGCTGGTCTAGATGCTCAGAGGCTGGGGGAACTGCTCATTTAAAGAGGTACTCTTAGTTGAGGCTTAAGTCCTGAGCTCCAAGATGAGAGCTTGATTCTAGTTTTGGTTCCTTTGCTTAAATAACCCTGACCTTCAAGGATGCTATCAACTCTTTGGCCTCACCTGGCATGGCCATCAGCATGCCTCTCTTCTATCCCATAGTAGTTAAGATGTCCAAACGAGACAGGTTTTGTGTCCTCTCTCAACAGGCCCATAGAGTTTAAACTGCTTTCAATTTGAAGCTTACGGTTGTTAAGCTAACTTTGGGTGGTAACCACCATTTCTTATCTTTCCTGAAAATCTCTCCTCCTTCCTCCTATTTAAGAAATCTTATATAATACTTTCTAGAACCCTGATCCTAGAACCTTAAGAAACTGGTCTATCTCAAGGTTATCTGAAATTTGGCTTTGTAGATCAGAGACCAGGGAGGAGACAGATAAGAGAAGGCAGAACAGGATAGGCTATCTGTGGTGCAGAGCAGTATCCAGGAACCAGGGAACATGAGGAGCCAGGTGGAGAGACCAACGGACAAAGTGCTGACAACAGACAGGCCTTAGTAAATGAGGTGGCTTCTTTGCCTCCAGCCAAAAGGATGGAATTAATCCCAGCTTGTCATGCCTGAGCCTTGTAGGCAGGATGAGGTAACTGGCTGCACCTGGCTGGAGTTTCTGCTCTTATTGAGACCAGATTCCTCCAGGAGCTATCTATGCCTCGCACCTATGCTGGCCTCATCATTCAGTATTCCTAAATTTATCTAAAGCCTGGTGCCACCTTAGCATCCTTATGCTTTAGATGTTCAACTTAGAAGTTCAGCCCCCCACCCCAAACAGACAAGGAGCTTTCCTATACGTCCTAAGTCAACAGGAGCCCTAGGATGAGAACCACGAGTGTCAAGCAGGTAGGGCACAGCCACTTGTACTCAAGCCAAGAGAGAAAAGTTTTAGATAACTTCAGATACGGCATCATGCTAGCTAATCAAGTCTGCTTAGAAACTCACAAACCTCCTGCCTCAGCTTCCCAAATGAGTGCTGGGGTTACAGATGTGGGCCTCCATACCAAGGTCAGAAGTGTCTTTCTTGTTTTTCCAACCTGGTGGGGAAAAAAAGTAGGTGTGAGCATACAGATATGAAGGAGAAGTGTGTCCCCATGCTGAAGGAAAGGAGACCCATAGCCAGGGAAGAAATATTTTCAATAGGAAGTTTGTCAGAGTTAGAAAAATTCAGAAATGGCTGCTGGCAAGTAGATTCCAAGAGAATACCAAGAGATTAATGAAAGGATTGCTAAGCCGCAGTGAGGAACAGTTGGACTTTTGTGAACTGGGTGTTCTTCGTAAGTGCTCATCTTCATGCGTGCTGTTGCTTTTATTTTCACACATATGCCGCAATGATGGTAGCTTGATACTGTTTACATCTTGTCTCCCGAGCCTTCTGGCACTGCTCCGTGAGTATGCGGATGAAAGCACTTGACCACCAGGAAATCATTTTACTTGGAGAGGAACATATTAAGTAAGAGTACATAATTAGTTCCTTTTAAGCCCACACTGGACATTCTCTCTCTTGTCTCTCAAGACATCTTGCTGGGGAACTAGTTAGATTCCACCTATGGGCCAACGACAGGACATCTATGAGCAGGACCAAGGTGAAGGGACAGTAGGGACAAGGCCACTTGTCATAGGTGGGATAGGGAGGGCCATTCTCAGCCAGACAGGATAGAGAATTCAAAGTAAGCAATGTCATGACTTCCAGCCAGCTGAGTGCAAGCGAAAGAAGGAGAAATAGTAAAAAACAGGAGCCGAGCAAACTTTCCCAAACCGGAATCTCCCTCAACAAGGCAATGAGGTGGAGTGCAGGGGAAGACTTGATTCAGAATCGGGACCAGTGGGCTCTTCTGTCTCTAAGAATCAGTGGTTCAAGGAAAAGGGCAGGGCTATAAAATATAGGTACAATAAAGGGGTCCGAAATCCAGAAGCCAAACAGGGCTCTGTTCCACAGAGCATGGGGTTAAAGTCCAGATGGGTCAAGGACGCCAGTGGGGAACTGTGGCTCGCAACTCTGTGTTTTGACTCACGTAAACTCAGCTACTCTAGACAGCTGTTCTACCACCTGGAAAATTCCTTGCGTGCTTCAGGTCAAAGTAGGGGAAAAGACATTTGATTGGCTCAGGTCCCTTAGCAGAGCAGATGGTCAAAGGCTCTGGCGTAGCTCTGTGTATTACTCAGTGAATCTGGCGGCTGCCCTACCCCTATCCGGGATCATCCCTGAGTAAAGAAATAGCTATGGAGGGTTAATTTAAGTTGAAGTTAAAGTTGAAAGTTGGGTGAAAAGGCAAATATCTGGAGTGACCAACAGATCTCAGTGGCT